TGTGGCTCAAGTGGTAGAGTTCTAGCCTTGAGCTGAAGAGCTGAGGGACGGTACCCAGGCCCAGAGTTCAGGCCCCATGACTGACCAAAAAAAAAAAAAAAATCCCAGGCACAAGCTCTAATTAACATTAGATACATTATAATACTTCAAGGGATATCTTTGGAAGCACTAGAAATAAAAATTAGTGAAATTCCTGGGGAAATGGGGCTGGGAAGTTGGCTCAGTGGTAGAGTGCTCGCCTCGAATGCATGAGGCCTTGGATTCGATTCCTCAGTACCACATAGGCAGAAAAAAAAAAAAGCCGCAAGTGGCACTATGGCTCAAGTGGTAGAGCGCTAGCCTTGAGCTGAAGAGTTGAGGGACAGCGACCCCAGACCCAGAGTTCAGGCCCCACGACCGACAAAAAAATCAAACAAACAAAATTCCTGGGGAGAAATAAAACCACAGTGAAAACATGTTTGCTCTAGGACATACAAGTGAGAAGCACTTCTCCACATTTCCGTTGCATTTCTCCATTTTTTAATTAACTTATATTAATTTTACAAAGGGGTTTTGTTGGGTTACTTCCATATATGAAAATAATGTACTTTAATCAAATTCACCCAGCACTGACCTTCTTCGTTACAGGCTATCTTTTCTAAGATATTTATATTGGGAAAAGTCTTAGAAACAGAGATAAAGGGAAGATTTTGTACATTTTTGGAAGATACAGACTTCCTTTAGAGAAAACAAGCACATTTATTACAGTATTTCTCCTTTAACCAATCTATACGTGGCATATTCAACATTAGATGAGTCAGAAAACTTGTACTTTTAGAATCAATAACAAATAATATTTTGAACCAATATTAAATTAACTTACTAAATTACAGATTTAATTCAACCCAATTCTTCTCAGTCTAACTCAGCCTGTTTTCAAGCCAGTAAGGAAAGATTTCCTATCAAAGGTTCATTTCTATGGCTAAGTTCAACTGTGCTACTTCTGAATACATTCTTAAACGATCTATATAATTTATCATGGCACAGTCTATCCCTGTACAAACACAATTGACATTTGGGTTATTTTGGTTACTGTAAATTTAGCCTTGTATTGTAAGAATACCAAGACATTTTATAAGCAAAGTTGCTGCTGATTTGAAAAACTGGAAGGCAGGGAAAAGCTTATTATTCCTGTTTAAGTAACAGTAGGCATTTTATCATACTTGAATTACCTTTTCTTAATTCTTAAGCGTGAGAAAACGGAAACTCTAGGTAAAAGGGTAATGAGTTTCTTTGGTATCTCACTCTTGTCTTGGGTCTCCTCCTGTGTCTCAAATTTGTGTTCACCAGCCTTTCTCTGGTGCTGAAGTTTACCATTTTCCTTCTACTCTATTCTGGAAAGCTTCATCACCACAAGATGTCATGTTATAAAGTTATCTTGAATATTTGCTATCATTCTCCTTCCAAAACTTCCATGAAGATGGGACTACATATTAACAGAAAAATAGAACTATTTTTCCTCTATTAAAAATGCAGTTCTATACATCACAGAAGCTTATCGAACACCCAACAAGCAAGATCCCAGGAGAAACACTTCTAGACACATTATAGTAAAAATGATAGATCTGAATAATAAGGAAACAATCCTGCATGCAGCAAAAATGAAGAAGGAGCTATACTACAACGGGAAAAAAATTAGAATCACTGCAGATCTCTCCACACAAACAATGAATGCAAGAAAAGCCTGGGAAAGTACCATACGAGCCCTGAGAGCCAATGACTGCCAACCCAGACTAATATACCTGGCAAAGCTAGCATTCACATTCGATGGAGAACTGAAAACTTTTAATAGCAAAGAAAAACTAAATGAATACATAAACATTAAGCCAGCATTACAAAGAATTCTAAGAGGGGGGACACAACCTGAAGAAAGCAACCCGGAACTGGGACCTGCCCCAAACAGGCATTACTCAAAGTCTAACTGAGTAAGCACAGGAGGAAAGGAAAGAAGAAAAACTTAGGAAAACGGAATGGCAGGGACAACAATGCATCTCTCTATACTTTCTCTTAATATAAATGGGCTGAATTCGCCAATTAAAAGAAAACAAACTGAGGACTGGATCAGAAAACAAGACCCATCCATCTGTTGCCTTCAGGAGACCCACCTCTCAGCCAAACATACAAACAAACTCAGAGTGAAGGGGTGGAAAAGGATCTA